ATTATGGTGGAAAATAAGTATTTGGTCACCTACAAACAAGCAAGATATCTGGCTCTCACAGACCTGTAACTTCTTCTTTAAGAGGCTCCTCTGTCCTCCACTCGTTACCTGTATTAATGGCACCTGTTTGAACTTGTTATCAGTATAAAAGACACCTGTCCACAACCTCAAACAGTCACACTCCAAACTCCACTATGGCCAAGACCAAAGCCTCTGTAGCTCAGCTGGTAGAGCACGGCGCTTGTAACGCCAAGGTAGTGGGTTCGATCCCCGGGACCACCCATACACAAAAAAATGTATGCACGCATGACTGTAAGTCGCTTTGGATAAAAGCGTCTGCTAAATGGCATATTATTATTATATTATTACCAAAGAGCTGTCAAAGGACACCAGAAACAACATTGTAGACCTGCACCAGGCTGGGAAGACTGAATCTGCAATAGGTAAGCAGCTTGGTTTGAAGAAATCAACTGTGGGAGCAATTATTAGGAAATGGAAGACATACAAGACCACTGATAATCTCCCTCGATCTGGGGCTCCACGCAAGATCTCACCCCGTGGGGTCAAAATGATCACAAGAACGGTGAGCAAAAATCCCAGAACCAACGGGGGGACCTAGTGAATGACCTGCAGAGAGCTGGGACCAAAGTAACAAAGCCTACCATCAGTAACACACTACGCCGCAAGGGACTCAAATCCTGCAGTGCCAGACGTGTCCCCCTGCTTAAGCCAGTACATGTCCAGGCCCATCTGAAGTTTGCTAGAGTGCATTTGGATGATCCAGAAGAGGATTGGGAGAACGTCATATGGTCAGATAAAACCAAAATATAACTTTTTGGTAAAAACTCAACTCGTCGTGTTTGGAGCACAATGAATGCTGAGTTGCATCCAAAGAACACCATACCTACTGTGAAGCATGGGGGTGGAAACATCATGCTTTGGGGCTGTTTTTCTGCAAAGGGACCAGGACGACTGATCCGTGTAAAGGAAAGAATGAATGGGGCCATGTATCATGAGATTTTGAGTGAAAACCTCCTTCCATCAGCAAGGGCATTGAAGATGAAACGTGGCTTGGTCTTTCAGCATGACAATGATCCCAAACACACCGCCCGGGCAACGAAGGAGTGGCTTCGTAAGAAGCATTTCAAGGTCCTGGAGTGGCCTAGCCAGTCTCCAGATCTCAACCCCATAGAAAATCTTTGGAGGGAGTTGAAAGTCTGTGTTGCCCAGAGACAGCCCCGAAACCTGAAGGATCTGGAGAAGGTCTGTATGGAGGAGTGGGCCAAAATCCCTGCTGCAGTGTGTGCAAACCTGGTCAAGACCTACAGGAAACGTATGATCTCTGTAATTGCAAACAAAGGTTTCTGTACCAAATAATAAGTTCTGCTTTTCTGATATATCAAATACTTATGTCATGCAATAAAATGCAAATTAATTACAATGTGATTTTCTGGATTTTTGTTTTAGATTCCGTCTCTCACAGTTGAAGTGTACCTATGATAAAAATTACAGACCTCTACATGCTTTGTAAGTAGGAAAACCTGCAAAATTGGCAGTGTATCAAATACTTGTTCTCCCCACTGTATGTTTCCAATGCACTTTGAGAGAGAGCGATAGAGAGAGAGAGAGAGACACAGAGAGAGAGAGAGAGAGAGAGAGAGAGAGAGAGAAGGGGAAGAATAGAGAGAAAGAGAGAGAAGGGGAGAAAGAGAGAAAGAACGAGGGAGCGGTGAGAGAGCGAGAAAGACAAGAGGCTGTTCCTCTGCCTGTCCTTAGATACTTGGCTGTCTATAAGCCTTCTCTAATCAGTTAAACTCTGTTTAAAGTTTCACCACATTACAGCAGTAAAACATGCTCAAATCCTCAAATCTGATGTGTTTATCCCTAAAACAAGTGAAAAGACTTCCTCCTAATGTACTACATGTTTTTATAGGAATTACTGTATAACAGTATCACTCTGATAACAAGTTTAGATAGCTGGCAGTTAAACTAACTTGATGACTTGGGCTAATTGACTGACTCTCAGTGACTGACATGAGAGAAAAACTGCTGATGCACAACCAAAATTGCACCTTGTGTATTCTATTATTCTAACTCGCAACAGGAAGTTGAGACCCCACTGAGTTCCTACATTTTTTATCAGAGGGCCTTCAAAAGGGGGGCCGCCAGTTGCACATCCATGTTCTAGAGGGTTAGGCCCATAGAAATAGACTTCATAGAATGGACGTATCCCATGAGAATTGTATGGAACATGCAGAATAACCAGAAGAGCAGGGCAGGTATGGTGGCTTTATTCAACGCCTGCCTCTGAATTAATGGTGTTATTCGCAATGCATCTCTAAGGGGTGTGTGTGTGTGTGTGTGCGCGCATCTCAGCAGGGCATGTTGACGCCAGCTGAACTTGGCCACTGTTAATGTTAACCCCTCCTTGCTATCTATCTCTCCCTCCCTATCCATCCGTCCTTCTCTGTTACTCCCGCTCTCGGTCTACCACTTATTCTCTCCCTTTTCACCCTCTCTCTCTTCCTTTCCCCTCCCTACTCCTCTCTCTCTCCATCATCACATCTCTCTTTGTCTCTGTTCTCTTCCAGGGTGTCCATAAATAATGAAGTACATACACACAGACAGGGACACACACAGACAGGGACACACGGGTAGACAGCAGGGGAGGTAGATCAGCCCATCTCACGTAAGAGAGGAAAGGGTTAAAAACAATGTTTGGAACACACACACACACACACATTAATGATCCAAAGCCAACTCAATTGACAAAAACACCCAAGTGTGCACTGGCTAGAACTTGCAATTAATTCACACACACACAGGGAGTATGATCCAGATTAACTAGCCTAACTGGAGTGGATTCTATGCATCATCAACCTGAAGATACAAGGGATTACACAACACACAGCAGCTACATAGAGGGCTGTTCAGGTGACTCATCTGAATGTAATAAGACCCACTCCATGTTCCCTCTACACAGATGCTGTATGTGTAACTGAGAGTCTACCTGGAGGACATAAAACAGTTATGTATTCCTCTCATAAAATTAAACTACACTGGTCCTCACCCAGAGAACAGGAACAAGGGTCTTCTCTCTGACACATTCAATCACTTAGCTACTGTTGTCATGTACTAAACTGCCAGTTGAGGATGGTGACAAACATCATAATAATATCATGATGCATCAGCTGTTTCTTGTAGGCAGAACTGTCATCAGACTGGCGCACAATGTTCTAGAGTAGACAACCTATCAGTCAGTCATAAGATTTGCTACAATACACACCTATTGGAAAAATCTTCCTTACGGCTAGGGTTACAATGCAGACATAATTGTCCTGCCAATGCTAGCTAATGTTACACCGATGCGATACGCTCGAGCTGGTTTTAGCTCAAGTTGTGATTAGTGTTATTCACTGGCTTGTCAATGGGTTTACTTGGCTAGCATAACAAGCTACCCTTAGACAGCGATAGGTAGCTTGAAGCTAACGCTACTGTACATTTTAAGTCATTTAGCAGACGCTCTTATCCAGAGCGACTTACAGTTAGTGAGTGCATAATTTTTTTTTTTTCATACTGGCCCCCCGTGGGAATCGAACCCACAAACCTGGCGTTGCAAGCGCCATGCTCTACCAACTGAGCTACACGGGGCCCCACTGTACCTACTATACACATTGCTAGCTAGTAAGGTCCCGTGTTATTGCAAAATTCTATATGTAATATAAAAATATATAGAATACATGAGTACGTCCATTAATGATTAACACACATGTTAATTAGCTGTCACCTAGCTAGCTAACTTAGCTAGTTACATACACACCTGTCTGGCTGTCAAACTAGCACTTGTATGGTTTTTCGGTGCGCTTTGATACAAGTCGTCGTCTTCTAAAACACGGCCATAACTAGTGTTAGCTAGCTACTTACGATTGAATTAATTTATTGTCTTGTATTCAGGATGCAGGGTGCTGAACCGAACATTGACACTGATATTTGTTTGCCGGTATCTTCCTGATACCTATCCGGGGGATTCATTCACAATCAGACGCTTTCCTGTCGGTGGACAGCTTTTGCAGTGGTTTGGCGCCATCATGCTGTCATATAGTGTAGCTACAAATACGACGAGGTCAAGCATCAGATGTACTAATGTATGTGCAGGTCAAATGTCATTTTCCAATTTCTTTTGAGATATTTCGGGTTTTCTAGAGGAAAACACTTGCTTTATTGCGTGGATAAACAGTTTGTCAAAAACAATGACAATACTAGTTCTGTTTCTAAACAGCATTCTCGACAAACAATGCACACAGACTCCCACAGTCATGATTTGCAACACGCAATGCACACCAATTATGCATACATTTTAAATAAATAACCTTTGAAACAACAGTCGACCAGTAGAATTCAAAATATTTATTTTGATAATTACATTTCCTCCAATGGTTATAGCATGAAACGACTCAATAGGAGTTTTGATGTACTATCTTTTTCCAGCTGGAATGCTAAGGCATATGACGACGATCAGTGAATACAGAATGGCACTGACTGACCATGCGTGATTGAACCTGTCAGACATTTAGTACTTACCATTTAGAAGAGGCCCCAATACCCACAAACTGTACATTTAATTGAATGAACGGTCAATACATGTAGACATGGTATTGCATGTACACTAAAGTTACCTATACACAAAACAATACAAGCGGTAGAAACCAGTCAGCACATATGATTGCCTGGAAACCTGATGTTCAATTGCATTGAATTCTATGTCGGGCAGAAACGAGCGTTTGAGTCAGGAACATTTCCTCTCACGACCTCTACAAGCCAGAATGTTGAATAAAATGTTATTTTAATATACTCTACCTGTTGTCCGTGCAGTTGGTACTTTTGCAGGTAGGAATGCGAGACAGTATATCCACAGGAAAGTAAAATTACATCAACTTTTCAAAGTGCTGCTATTGCTTTCAGAGTTCTTACCTGAAGCATGCGCACAAGATACAAATGCATGCATCCTTGCCAAGCTCGTGCACGTCTTCACATGGTTCTGCGCATACTTCAAATGATATAAATCTGAAGGCACTACAAGCGCTTTGAAAAGTTGATGTAATCATACTTTCCTGTGGATATATTGTCTCACATTCCTTCCTCCAAAAGGACCAACCGCATGAACAACCGGTGAAGTACTTTAAAATATCATTTAATTCAACATTCTGGCTTGTAGCGGTCATGAGAGGAAACTTTCCTGATTCAAACGCTAATTTCTTCCCGATGTAATATTCAATGCAATTCAACATTGGGTTCAGGCAACACATACTAGTATGACCCAGTTCATTTAATGTGCTGTGTTAGCAAAAAAAAACTACAGTATTAAAAACCCATGAATAACAGTGACAAAATGTGATTGGTTTAAATACATCTTGACTCATTATAACCTTGCAGAAAGTAACCTTTCTGCTGCTACTCATAACCAACCCTAGAGAAAACGGCCTATGGTGGGTAGGATCAGCAGCCTTTCACCAGTCAACTCTTCGGCTCGACTGGACAGCACTCACATAGAGCTCAGTCCAAACACTGTTGCCCCTTTAAAAAAAGGTTAAATACCAAACTCAACATCATCTCAGGACAACCCTAAAATGACGTGGGGAGTGGTTCAACAGTCCAACAACTTGGGTGTATCTAGAATTGTAGCCTCTGACAGCCAGTTTGTCAGTCCTGGCTGCACTACCCCTCCAGTCCTAGTGGTGGCGCTGTGTGTCTACATCCAGCCCTCCTTCAGGGTGTTCTCCAGTACCTCCTCATACAGCCAGCTCTGGGTGAACTCCTGGGACTTATCCACCAGTTCAAACAGCCGTTTGTACTCCTCTGGGTAGACATGGCCCGTCAGTACATCCTCCTGCATCCCCATCTCCTTCAGTAGCTTAGGACCACTGTCTGGACTCCACATACTGGGACAGAGAATGAGGGTGAGAGGCAGAGAGACGGAGACAGAGAGTGAGCGGACTTTATTATCAATGTGGCCAACAAGGATAATATTTAAGTTTGTACAGCGCTCACTTGAAACGGTCTGTGCAAGATCATATGTGTACAGTGAGGGAAAAAAAGTATTTGATCCCCTGCTGATTTTGTAAGTTTGCCCACTGACAAAGACATGATCTGTCTATAATTTTAATGGTAGGTTTATTTGAACAGAGAGAGACAGAATAACAACAACAAAAAAAAACAGAAAAACACATCAAAAATGTTATAAATTGATTTGCATTTTAATGAGGGAAATAAGTATTTGACCCCTCTGCAATACATGACTTAGTACTTGGTGGCAAAACCCTTGTTGGCAATCACAGAGGTCAGACGTTTCTTGTAGTTGGCCACCAGGTTTGCACACATCTCAGGAGGGATTTTGTCCCACTCCTCTTTGCAGATCTTCTCCAAGTCATTAAGGTTTCGAAGCTGACGTTTGGCAACTCGAACCTTCAGCTCCCTCCACAGATTTTCTATGGGATTAAGGTCTGGAGACTGGCTAGGCCACTCCAGGACCTTAATGTGCTTCTTTTTGAGCCACTCCTTTGTTGCCTTGGCCATGTGTTTTGGGACATTGTCATGCTGGAATACCCATCCGCGACCCATTTTCAATGCCCTGGCTGAGGGAAGGAGGTTCTCACCCAAGATTTGACGGTACATGGTCCCGTCCATCGTCCCTTTGATGCGGTGAAGTTGTCCTGTCCCCTTAGCAGAAAAACACCCCCAAAGCATAATGTTTCCACCTCCATGTTTGACGGTGTTCTTGGGGTCATAGGCAGCATTCCTCCTCCTCCAAACACGGCGAGTTGAGTTGATGCCAAAGAGCTCGATTTTGGTCTCATCTGACCACAACACTTTCACCCAGTTCTCCTCTGAATCATTCAGATGTTCATTGGCAAACTTCAGATGGCCCTGTATATGTGCTTTCTTGAGCAGGGGGACCTTGCGGGCGCTGCAGGATTTCAGTCCTTCACGGCGTAGTGTGTTACCAATTGTTTTCTTGTTGACTATGGTCCCAGCTGCCTTGATCATTGACAAGATCCTCCCGTGTAGTTCTGGGCTGATTCCTCACCGTTCTCATGACCATTGCAACTCCACGAGGTGAGATCTTGCATGGAACCCCAGGCCGAGGGAGATTGACAGTTATTTTGTGTTTCTTCCATTTGCGAATAATCGCACCAACTGTTGTCACCTTCTCACCAAGCTGCTTGGCGATGGTCTTGTAGCCCATTCCAGCCTTGTGTAGGTCTACAATTTTGTCCCTGACATCCTTGGAGAGCTCTTTGGTCTTGGCCATGATGGAGAGTTTGAAATCTGATTGATTGATTGCTTCTGTGGACAGGTGTCTTTTATACAGGTAACAAGCTGAGATTAGGAGCACTCCTGGGAGCCAGAAATCTTTCTGATTGAGAGGGGGTCAAATACTTATTTCCCTCATTAAAATCCATTTATAACATTTTTGACATGCGTTTTTCTGGATTTATTTGTTGTTATTCTGTCTCTCACTGTTCAAATAAACCTACCATTAAAATTATAGACTGATCTTTGTCAGTGGGCAAACGTACAAAATCAGCAGGGGATCAAATACTTTTTTCCCCCTCACTGTATGTATCCATGTCTCCACGTGTGTGTGCACGCGCGTTCCACTCACTTGAGCCGGTCTACTAGCCGGGCCTTCCTCTTGGCCAAACATTGTTTGACCATCATGACCAGGGTGGCTGCATTGGAGGGGGTCAGCGAGGAGGAGAACAGGTCCTTGCGAGGTGTCATTCGCACCAGGCACAGGTTGTCATTAGGAAGCTGAAGGACGGAGGGGGAAACGACAGGCTTCAGGCCTTGTGTGTCTTTTCTAATGGTTATAGCTAGGCCGTTACAGCGCACTTTATAGAAGACTAATTCAATAGCAACGATCATAATAACATGTAACACACACAGAAGAGCAGAATTAGCAGTTGTTTTCTCTGACATTTGTAATAAGTCTCCAATATGCACCACGTTAATAACACTACATGACTTATTGTCTTTCACCGTATATTCAAACACAGGAGGATCTGACCAAGTGAATGTCCCATTATGATGTTGGTAGAACAGTGAATCCTTACTCTGCTCTTTGGAATGGCCAGCTTGTACTTAGAAGAGGTCACAAACGATGCCCATGGCTCCTGAAAGAGAACACACAGAGAAGAGCATCTGTTAGTAGAGCCACTGTCAAAGCTCTGTGACATCTGCTTGTTGTCGACAGGAGTGGAGGGAAATACTTTAATGGCTTTGCTGTCTCCCTGGTCAAGGACATAGGACTGACATTCTCTCACCTCTTTCACTTTCCATTCCTCCAGTTCTACCTTTACTAACTTCCCTCTCCCCCTTCTTTCCACCAGGTATATCTACTTACTTCCCTCCCCCTTATTTCCGGTCCTCCCTTCCCGCTCACCTTGTGTAGCAGTTCGATGTGGCATGCTATCTGCCATAAAGCTCCAAAGGCTCTGTAGTTCAACATGTCCCCTGGCTTAGCCATCAGTTTCTATGGGAGTGAAAGAACAAAACCCATTCACACCATCGTTAAAACACCACTACATTTGCTCTCAATGAGTCTGTGTGTGTCTGTGCGCACTCACCAGGTATTCCTTCTCGCTGATGAACAGGTTGAGCTCTACTCGTCCGTAACGGTAGATGGAGAGCCGATCAAACAGAACATACACCAACTTCCACAGCTGACTCCTCTCAACGCGCTGGGGGAACATGCCAACCACCTTCACTGGAACCTCTACACACACAAAAAAACGTTCATAAACACGGAAAAACAGATAGAATAAACTATCCTGTTTATTGTGGTCAGCACGTTTTCACCAGGTCAAATTCCTGGTATAAATGTACTTGGCAAATAAAGGTGATTCTGAGTCTGATGATGTGTCTTTGTATGTCTTTTTCGTGTGTGTGTGTGTGTGTCTCACCATCGGTCCAGTTTGCCTCTGATATGCCCAGGTCAGTGAACAGTTTGTCAGAGTACATGGCCGGAGGTCTCATGCTGCCTCTGCCCATAGGGTCCAGCTTGAAGAAATCACAGTGGACCACCTCCAGCTGACCATCCAGACGACTCTCCAGAGCCTAGACACATGCCAGAATGTTGGTACAATGAAGATGTAAGACATTTAACTCTCCTACTGAAAACGACCCTGGCCCTAAAAGGCTCTGTAAACTCACCTGCAGGTCAGGTAGGAAGGACTTGTCGCCCTCTAGCGCCACCACTCTCTGAGCTCCAGCATTCAGCAGAGTCCGAGTCAACACCCCTGGGCCTGAGACACACACTCTAATGAACACTCCCATTGTTACTGACCACACACACACACACACAACCTCTCCCATTGTTACTGACCACCCACACATACACACACACATACACACAACCTCCCCCATTGTTACAGACAACACAAGTCCCAAAGGACATAGAACACACAGACACCACGTACCTGGGTTACATTCAAATATAGCGGCCTTGCTGTCCTCCAGGTCAGGTCCTAGGTGGTGTGTGACCAGTTTGGCCAGGGCTGGCTCTATGATGAACCTTCTGATGGTTCTACAGAGCTGAGCCCTCTGAGTGTTCTCCTCTACCTCCCCTAGGTCCAGGAAGTCATACCTGCACAGCGGGCGACTCTGGTCCTAAACACACACGACAGACACGTTAACAAACATTCTCCTCTTCTCTCGCCCCCTTTCATCTTCCCTCCTTCATTCAAAAAAATAATAATGTCTACCCAGGACTGGCCACCACTGGCATAACGCAGTTTCTCTGAACCCCAGCAAGGTCGCTGTTTGCCTCCCCCCTAAATAAAAACTATGTGTCAGCCAGACAGCCACTCACAAAGTACAGACTATACTGCTCGCTGTCCGTGGTGCTGAAATTGTGACAAGTCTATGCGGCTGCATGTCTACTGAATCAATGATAGGCTTTCTGTGGTGCCAGGATATGTATAGCTTTGCTTAAGCTAATGAATAAATGTTTATTGGTAGGCCTATTTTGTTGCCATTTTCTCAAGTTAAGCATAACATTTCACGAATCTATACAAGGTGTCGCAATGCTGCCATTTTTAGACTGCTGGCAATAATGTATTTACTTGTTCAGTAATTCAAGTTGGAAATGTAAACACTGCAGATTGTACCTGAACCTGCATGACATGAGCTGTCCTCGTGCGCTCTCCCAGCTTGGATAGAAAGTTGTGCGTAAAACCAGTCTATTAATACCAAATAATACAGCAAGTCCACCCTCAAAACACTAGCTTACTAGGGATTGTTTCATTATGCAGTGTAGCCTACTATCTATAGCTACATACCGTATTTAGTAACTTTTAATCAAATGATATATCAGATAGCCTAACAATTGTGGAAAAAAGTAGTCGGTTTGTGGATTAATTCAGCCACTACTCTGCGGGTTTTGTCTGACTAATAGCCTACACAATTGGTCTGCAATATTCAAGGTAAATTCAATTAAATCCAACTTGAGACTCCCCTGAAGTCCTCCTTTTTTGTGTGCAAATGTTTTTGCCACAACCTGTAGGTCCAGGTTGCAGGCCCGACTGTTTTCTAAACGGAGTATTGCCAACTCAGATAGACTTTCCTGAGAATGGCATTATTATGTCCATTGCGCTGCACACAATTTCAACTCAGTCTTGAATGATGCATGCCAAGATATACCAGAGATAAGGGACTGTTGATATTGCAACCACACAACTCAAACCGAGAACTGTTATCCGTTAAAGATGATAATCTGTTTGCATCTGCCAATTTATTGGCTGTCCAGTATCCAGACGACCTGTCCCCAGAGCGTCCTATACAGTTCATCTCTTTCTGTAATGTGTTGAGGATGGCAATTAAGGAGAATGAGAGGCTCAATTAAAGATGTTGCAGAACTGCTGTATTTGAAGCACTACTCTCGTTTCTCTGATGTTGCTAGTTACCACAGCCACAAAGTCAAAATTGGCTATCTCGTAAAAATTAATGAAAACAAAAATTGTATTTTGGTCTTAATTTAGGTTAGGGGTTGGCATACAGTTAACAGTGTGCTTAGGTTTAAAATCCAATTTTAAGAAGAGAAATTGTAGAAATCTGCTGCCTTTATGACTGTAGCAACTAGTGACTACAGGTAGGTAGGTAGCTTGGTAGGAGCCAGGACTGCAGTAGATTGAACTGCTTTGCCCCCTAGAGGTCATACGCAGAACCACATCTGAATTGTGAACTCACCTCATTCTAAATGTAAAAAACAAATGGCAGTTTAAACGTTAAGAGAAATTGTACATTTGTCACATCCCTAGTAAGAAGCATTAGGCTCTCGGTCTGACATGCGCTTTTGAACACCTGAGTAAGTGCCACTCATTACACTGGCGCCGTCGCAGCCTTGACCACGGCATATGTTTACCGATACCCTTATACTTTCAATCAGTTTCATTTTTCAAGGCCTGAGGCACTTTTTCAGTCACATTCCTGGAGCCCAAGAAACAAAACACATAGCTTCCTAGTACATATGGAAATTAAAAAGGTTTACATGGGTCCCCAGAGCTCGTGCCCCCCCACCCCTTTAGGTTTCTTCCGAGGTTCCTGCCTTCTAGGGAGTTTTTCCTAGCAACTGTGCTTCTGCCTCGGCATTGCTTTGTAGGGTTTTAGGTGGGGTATCTGTAAAGCAGTTTGTGACAACTGCTTTTGTAAAAGGGGCTACATAAAATACATTTGATTGATTGACTGACTGAGCAATCCCTTTGATGTGTTATTACCTGAAATGTTGTGTTTTAATCACCATGGTAATGTCGATGTTCTGTTGTGCAATACCAATAAGACATTGTTAACATAAACAACACAAACCCAGTAGCTTTCCCACAGTTCTGGAGCTACTGGTTTGCTGTTGTTATGGATACAGTGTTATGGAATGTACTTGTCCATAAACACCACTGGTATCTCTACCTGGACAGAGACAGCCACAGCAGACAGGTTCCTGTGGGTTGGGGCTGAAGAGGGGGATGTCCGGTCTGTTCTAGCCTGTTGGGGCTGTGGCCGGCCGGGGCCGGAGGACAGCGAGTCCAGGCTGAAGGCCCGTCTCTGGAGCAGGACCCTGAGGCTACAGGGAGAGGCAGGCTGCTTCAGGGTGGGCCTAGCCCCGGGGTGGCAACATGCAGACCGCACCGCCACCACAAACAGTTTACTTGCCTGGGTGGACATGGCAGACAGATGGCAAGAGGGAGGGATGATGGTCACAGCCTGTGAATGAAGAAGAAGAAGCAGAGGTTAGAAAGAGCTCTAAATAAGTGCCTATGGTTAGCCCTACCTATGATTCTGGATGCAATAGTTTGGGTAGACACCACTCAATGAGAACTTAGTTTATGAGTAGTGTCTATAGCTTAGGAAAAAAAATGTCTATGATCGCTACAGTTGATGGGGACCACTGTACTGTCAACCAAAACATGTCCTTGAAATATGACACTGTACAGAATGTAACTAGCTAGTTTGCACTCAAGCCCGACACCACGTGTCTTGCCATTATTTCTCAACGTAAAAATAATTGTTTTGATACATGGTGACGTTAGGTGAATAATCTGATTTATCATCGAATCGGATCGATAACTTCGGAAGTAAAGTTAGCTAGCTATATATTAAAAATATGTAACGTTAGACAAACCTGAGGTAGCCAGCTAGTTAACGTTAGCTAGCTACCTATATAATGTTTGGTAACGTTAACTAGCTACATTAGATACCAACCTAAACGTTTATTTTTAAAGTTATTCTGCCAAACCATTTTGGATATGGCCATCGGTCTGGATAGTTATCTAGCTTGCATGCCTTGTACTATGGAAAATGCACTGCGACGCTAACTTTAGCAAGTAGCTAGCTAGATTGCTAGCTGGCTAACGTTAGAGATATATCTGTCAAGCTGAACAGCAAGTATGATAAATTGCGTCAAAACTGGGCATACCTTATCTCAGATATATCGTCGTTTGTCCTGATGTGGATCGTATTTTCATCTAGGGACAGCTTACATATTCCAGAATGTTGTAAAAATGCAGTGACATTGAACATGCATCTTGACCCTCGTTGAATTCGCAACTCGCATATTATGGCGATGATTTTACGTCACTATCAAGCGACCATCCAAAATAAGATATTGACAGCACAGAGAGCCAATCTTAATCCAAAATGTGTATACCCACGCCTACTTTTAGATCTCACCGTTTCAATTGGTTATTTATTTTAACGCGTTAATGAGATCAAATAACATGTTTATTTCAAATACAAAAAGCTGTCTTTAAACTAGCATCAATAAAACGCTTAGTGCATGTAGCCTATTTGCATCAGCGGTGTTTAAGTTCCATATCGTGATCAGATCAGTGCGTCGACGGAGCATCATCATCAGACTACGGAAGTCACAGTTTTGCCATCTGACATATACGAGCACGTTTCTTGGATTACGTCTATTCCTGTTCTCGCCACTTGTGCTGTGTTTCCTTGAGTATAACTAGCTAGTTGTAACTATGGCGAAGGTGGATACCTCCTCTAGCAGACCCTATCACATTGTTATTTTCGGGGCTTCGGGTTTCACCGGGCAGTTCGTGGTTGAAGAGGTGGCCAGGATCGTGTCGGAGGGCCCGAACGGGACGCTGAAATGGGCTGTGGCCGGGAGAAGCAGACAGAAACTGGACAAAGTTCTAGAGCAGGCCGCCGGAGCCCTCGGTACGTACTGGCTTCATTGACAGATAACCTTAGCAAACTAGCTAATACAGTTTGTTACATATTGAATTTGTTAACGCTGGATATATATGTCGAGCCAGAGAGAATATTTGGTCTAGTTAGCTGACTGACACCATTGTGTATTGTAATTGGATTTCACAGAGGGATTCAAGAAAGTTAGCTAGCTGGGTGTCACACACTGTATCTACAATGAGTTTACTGTGTCGTGCCAGCCAGCAAACTCACCTGATCTAACTTGGAACAAGGAGTCACTGTATCAGTTATCATGTAACCAAGTGTTTTGACCAAGGATGTTCTGCACTTTCATTGCAGTCAGTGTGTCATAGGCTTAGAAAAAAATATAAATCTCAAGTGCACAGACATAAGGAATGTTAGTCACTTCTGTAAGTTGCTCTGGATAAGAACGTCTGCTAAATGACTAAAATGTAAATGTGATGTGTTTCAGTAGTTGTAGTAGCTGGGAAGATACAGTGGGGAGAACAAGTATTTGATACACTGCCGATTTTGCAGGTTTTCCTACTTACAAAGCATGTAGAGGTCTGTAATTTTTATCATAGGTACACTTCAACTGTGAGAGACAGAATCTAAAACAAAAATCCAGAAAATCACATTGTATGATTTTTAAGTAATTAATTTGCATTTTATTGCATGACATAAGTATTTGATCACCTACCAACCAGTAAGAATTCCAGCTCTCACAGACCTGTTAGTTTTTCTTCAAGAAGCCCTCCTGTTCTCCACTCATTTCCTGTATTAACTGCACCTGTTTGAACTCGTTACCTGTATAAAATACACCTGTCCACACACTCAATCAAACGGACTCCAACCTCTCCACAATGGCCAAGACCAGAGAGCTGTGTAAGAACATCAGGGATAAAATTGTAGACCTGCACAAGGCTGGGATGAGCTACAGGACAATAGGCAAGCAGCTTGGTGAGAAGGCAACAACTGTTGGCGCAATTATTAGAAAATGGAACAAGTTCAAGATGATGGTCAATCACCCTCGGTCTGGGGCTCCATGCAAGATCTCACCACGTGGGGCATCAATGATCATGAGGAAGGTGAGGGATCAGCCCAGAACTACACGCCAGGACCTGGTCAATGACCTGAAGAGAGCTGGGACCACAGTCTCAAAGAAAACCATTAGTAACACACTACGCCGTCATGGATTAAAATCCTGCAGCGCACGCAAGGTCCCCCTGCTCAAGCCAGCGCATGTCCAGGCCCGTCTGAAGTTTGGCAATGACCATATGGATGATCCAGAGGAGGAATGGGAGAAGGTCATGTGGTCTGATGAGACAAAAATAGAGCTTTTTGGTCTAAACTCCACTCGCCGTGTTTGGAGGAAGAAGAAGGATGAGTACAACCCCAAGAACACTATCCCAACCGTGAAGCATGGAGGTGGAAACATCATTCTTTGGGGATGCTTTTCTGCAAAGGGGACAGGACGACTGCACCGTATTGAGGGGAGGATGGATGGGGCCATGTATCGCAAGATCTTGGCCAACAACATCCTTCCCTCAGTAAGAGCACTGAAGATGGATCGTGGCTGGGTCTTCCAGCATGACAACGACCCGAAACACACAGCCAGGGCAACTAAGGAGTGGCTCCGTAAGAAGCATCTCAAGGTCCTGGAGTGGCCTAGCCAGTCTCCAGACCTGAACCCAATAGAAAATGTTTGGAGGGAGCTGAAAGTCTGTATTGCCCTGCGACAGCCCCGAAACCTGAAGGATCTGGAGAAGGTCTGTATGGAGGAGTGGGCCAAAATCCCTGCTGCAGTGTGTGCAAACCTGGTCAAGACCTACAGGAAACGTATGATCTCTGTAATTGCAAACACAGGTTTCTGTACCAAATATTTAGTTCTGCTTTTCTGATGTACCAAATACTTATGTCATGCAATAAAATGCAAATTAATTACTTAAAAAATCATACAATGTTATTTTCTGGATTTTTGTTTGTAAGCTTTGTAAGTAGGAAAACCTGGAAAATCGGCAGTGTATCAAATACTTGTTCTCCCCACTGTATGTTGTTAGACCAGATAGCTTACACTCTACAAAGATGCTCTACGCAACACTTAAATCATTCAATCTTAATTCAGTATTAGTTTTAGATTAGTGAGTGGTTGGCTTGCCAGGAAAGGGATGGGTTCTAATAGGGTTGAGATTAGGGAGAATGGAGCTGTTCTTTGTTCCTGCTGTCCTCCTGGGAGAGCCCTCGCCAACAGCTGATGGAACATACCCCAACAGTGACACAGCCTCTACCTTCCCACCCCTGGCCTCTCAATGGGGACTCTGTCTACCTCTCCCCCTCATCAGTCTACTGCTCTATAGCCGTGGCCAGGTTGACATTTCAGAAACAATTGTCATGGGTTATATGGCTAAATAATATGCATTCGCAGGAACTTTAGAGGGCTCGTTTGGAATATGCAACAGACACATAGCCTAGTTTTGGCATTTGTGTACAATGTGACTGTATTGTTTTGTAGTCGTTCATCCGTTTACTGACCCTATGTTTTTCCTCCATCATTGAGATTTCAATCAGGCAGTATTTTCCTATCTGTTATGGCTATGTCAATATATGTTAAGTATATGGCACAGCATTCAGTGGTGCGTAATTTACAACAGTTCATGTTTGGTCATGAATTACAGTAGGCTAGTACTGTAGTGCATATAACATGTAAACTTATACTGGGGGCTGATGCAAAGCTGCACAGGAAAGATAACTGATGATGTATTGATGCTCTTCAAAGGTACTTTATTGAACCAAAATTAAAACGGCTGATTTTTATTTTATTAGGTTCTCTTGTAGACCTCATTCGGACTAATCTTCCAAGAGGTGACAAACTTTAGTACTTAGACTCTATCTGAACTAGATTGAAGGCAACAGTGACACAGAGACTTGGGGAAAACAGATAGCAAGTTTGTACTGTAAAGGATAGGCTGCATATTCAGTTCAGGGTCTGCCAAACAAAGGGTCAGCCCCACTGGCCCACCAAATTACTTTTTGGTCACTGAGCTATTTTAAGCCAGATCATTGTTGTAGTTTGTTCAACACATAATGAAGTGTGTTGTATTTGTAAATAGGTGAAATGACTGACTCCTCTGCTGTGTGTTTCAGGTAAGCCGGAGCTGAGGACTGCGGTGGAAGTCATCGTGGCTGATGTGGGAGAGCCTGATTCTCTGGCTGCCATGTGCAAACAGGCTGTTATTGTTCTCAACTGTGTGGGGCCAGTAAGTACTGACTGTGGAGATGCCACACACACACTGTAAATACTGCAGAGACACAATGAGTCTGATTGTCAGAAATGAAGAGGGATATCAGTGCTGCCTCTTCCATTGTGTTAGAATTCAGATATTATTATGGAAGAGTGTTTTGATGTCAGTCCTGATCACCACTCTGCCCTCCTGTTGTGCCATGGGGCTGCAGATAGTGGTCTGATTGTAGTGAGGACATGACCTCGCAGCTTGTGAAACACCTGCAATGATGATGGTGGCGATCACCAGTGCACCTTGTACTGTAGGTCAGCACACATACACACACACACACACACACACACACACACACACACACACACACACACACACACGATTAGCCAGTCCAGAGAAAATGGATACCTGTGACTAACATGAGGTGGCATGGTCCAGCAGTGACCACAGGGATTGGACTGCTGAGGACTGGGGTAAAGTCATTTTTGGGTCCATGGCCAGGAAACTCCCCAGACCTTAATCCCATTGAGAACTTGTGGTCAATCCTCAAGAGGCGGGTGGACAAACAAAACCCCACAAATTCTGACAAACTCCAAGCATTGATTCTGCAAGAATGGGCTGCCATCAGTCAGGATGTGGCCCAGAAGTTAATTGACAGCATGCCAGGGCGGATTGCAGAGGTCTTGAAAAAGAAGGGTCAACACTGCAAATATTGACTTTTTGCATAAACTTAATGTAATTGTCAATAAAATCCATTGACACTTATGGAATGCTTGTAATTATACTTCAGTATACCATAGTAACATCTGACAAAAATATCTAAAACCACTGAAGCAGCAAACTTTGTGAAGACCAATACTTGTGTCATTCTCAAAACTTTTGACCACAACTGTACAGTGAAATGCTTACTTACAAGCCCTTAACCAACAATGCAGTTTTAAGAAAAATAAGTGTTAAGTAAAAAAGAGATGGTTATCCTTCTGGAAGGTTCTCCCATCTCCACAGAGGAACTCTGGAGCTCTGTCAGAGTGACCATCGGGTTCTTGGTCATCTCCCTGACCAAGGCCCTTCTTCACCGATTGCTTAGTTTGGCTGGGCGGCCTGCTCTAGGAAGAGTCTTGGTGGTTCCAAACTTCTTCCATTTTAAAAGTGATGGAGGCCACTGTGTTCTTGGGAATCTTCAATGCTGCAGACATTTTTTGGTACCCTTCCCCAGACACAATCCTGTCTCGGAGTTCTACGGACAATTCCTTCGACCTCATGGCTTGGTTTTTGCTTTGACATGCATTGTCAACTGTGGGACTTTATATAGACAGGTGTGTGCCTTTCCAAATCATGTCCAATCAATTGAATTTACCACAGGTGGACTCCAATCAAGTTGTAGAAACATCTCAAGGATGATCAATGGAAACAGGATGCACCTGAGCTCAATTTCGAGTCTCATAGCAAAGGGTCTGAGTACTTATGTAAATAAGGTATTTCTGGTATCTTTAATAAATGTGCAAAAATGTATAACCTGTTTTCGCTTAGTCATTATGGGGTATTGTGTGTAGATTGATGAGGAAAAACATTAATTTAATTCATTTTAGAATAAGGCTGTAACGTAACAAAATGTGGAAAAAGTCAAGGGGTCTGAATACTTTCCGAATGCACTGTATATATCAAATTGTACTGTAGTGACAAACACTTTGGTGAGGTGTTTTTATTAGTGCATATTTTAGATGATAATACTGTGTGTGTGTGTGTGTGTGTGTGTGTGTGTGTGTGTGTGTAGTACAGGTTCTGGGGTGAGCCTGTGGTGAAGGCATGCGTGGAGAACAGCGCACACTGCATTGACATTTGTGGAGAACCCCAGGTAAGACAACGCAACAACACACTCACCAGGCCTCAATCCCTAATCAACCCTGACCTCTACACCCTATCACTCCTGTAGATCGGACAGGACTTGGCAGGTGGAAGCTATATCACATACACACACACCACTAGGTTAAATGGGAAGGCTGCTGGACACCATGCTGTCCTCTATTAAATCCTTAATTACTGGCTTCAGCCTACCCTGCCTGTTTACTCCACAGCATGAATAAAATCACATGCTCTACCACTGCAACAGCCCAACACAGAGACGTGTGTGTGTGTGTAGTTCCTAGAGAGTATGCAGTTGAACTACAACAGCCAGGCAGCTGATAAGGGAGTGTACATCGTGGGGGCTTGTGGCTTTGACTCCATACCTGCAGACATGGGAGTCCTCTACACCAGGGACCAATTCAAAGGTGTGTGTGTCCCTGAGATTAGTTTACTTTAGCTGTTTGTGAATGTGTGTGCTCTCCATTGTGTGTGTTTGTGTGTCACATTTGTGTATCTCGTCACAGGGACACTTACAGCTGTGGAGAGCTTCCTGACAGCCAGCACAGGACCTGAGGTAAGACTCCATTACCCATAAACCCTCACACTGCCCCGGCATCATCTTTGTCCTGTAAAGGGTTCATCCTTGTAATCCCTGCCTCATCCTTGTATCTAATAATGTTGTTGATATTCGGTTGTCTCTCTGTCTGTCTTAGGGTGGTTCTATCAATGACGGTACATGGAAGTCGGCCATCTATGGTTTTGCTGACAGCGGGAAGCTGCGGAGCCTCAGGAAGAAGTTTGGACACAAACCTCTCCCTGTGGTTGGCTCAAAGATCAAACGCAGGTACAGGGAGCTGTGTGTGTTTGCGCGAGCATATGTGTGTATGTTGGATAACGTTACTTTCTATTGTGTATGTAGGAGTGCCCTGTTCTACAGTAATGAGGTTCAGCAGTATGCAGTCCCGTTCATGGGAGCCGACCCCTCGGTGGTGAAGAGATCTCAACGCTTTCTACTGGAGGAACACCAGGAAACACCTGTAGGTCACCCCAATACAGTACATACATTCACACACTGACACGGATCAACGTGTATTCTCGTTGTCATGAGAACAGTGTAATGTGATCTGGGCGATCTGCCATTTTGTGTTGTGGCTCTAATGTCCAAACTTAGTTTTGAAATGGAATGTGTCCTAATAACTGCTCTCAGATGTCCTCGTGTGGACAGAGTAGCAGAGTAATGACTTGTATACTGTGTGCTACAAACTTCGTTACAAGGGATAATTGAGTACATTTTGTTTATGTAAGCCTTATTTATGTTTAACATTTGTAAGGTTGAGACATGGGGCCTGTTTAAGAAGTCCATGTTTAAGAACCTCGCCTGAATACCAAATCACCCCCTTCCCCTCGCCCCTCCATTTGCACATTCACGAGAGCCTCTGCCATATGCACAACTATCCCGAAGCTGAGGGAGGGAAAATGATTGAGGGTGTAGAGCACATGTCAAACCCATTCCACAGAGGGGCCGAGTGTCTGGGGGTTTTCTCTCCTCCCTTGTACTTGATTGATGAATTAAGGTCACTAATTAGTAAGGAACTCCTCTCACCTGGTTGTTTAGGTCTTAATTGAAAGGAAAAAACAAAAACCTGCAGACACTCAACCCTCCGTGGAATGAGTTTGACACCCATGGTGTAGTGGCAAATGAAACCTTCCGATAGTCACTTCGGCCAAGCCAGCAAGGTTGTAGGCTCAAGAGCAAAGTGCTATCCCGACATGCACCGCGATATGTTTGGCATTTGCGCAATTTAATACAAAAGAATGGAGAGGTGTGCCTAATTATATGCCACGTGCATTTGTTTGTCTGATTTCGAGGCTTGACACATGTAACAAATGAAATGTCTCCCAAATTAAAGGTTTAACTGTTAATGAGGTTTATATCTTGTAAAACAACAGGGGGCTTTGTTCATTTGAATTTCATGCTCGTTTTATTATTTAAATAAACGATTGTGTCCCGAAGTTGGTTTATTGATCCCCTTGCCACTCTCTGGAAGTCACCCTCAGTTTCGTCAGCAACATGTGACAATGGAGCGCCCTTCGAGTGAGTTGGTAGGGGCGAGGGGTGGTTTGGGATTCACCGCTCCTGTGTGGGAGAGACTTCTGTTTGACCTTTGTGTGACCCCAGGTCCAGTATGGTGCGTATGCAGGAGTAGGAGGCGTGGCCAACATCGTCAAGATGCTATTTGCCGGGATGATGTTCTGGTTCCTGGTCAAATTCGACTTCGGGCGAAACCTGCTGATTAAGGTAAACTAGGACACACTGACAGACACATTGTTATAGACAGACACACACACACACACACACACACAAGGAAAACCTCTATTCTTCTCATGTTCTTTCTCTTTCTCTTCTGTATTTAGTTTCCAGAGTTTTTCTCCTTTGGTTTCTTCTCCAAGGATGGACCAACCAGAAAGCAGGTACAGTTTTATGTATCTCTCGAGACCTGTGTATTGTTAATGTATGAGTAACATCTACTGGTATGTTGAGCTTTCATTTGTTTTTGAAATTGCCAGTGATTGGTGTGTTTGTGTGTCACTCAACTGGAGGGTTGGTCCTTCTAGTCAGTGGTTGGTGTGTTTGTGTGTCTCTCAGATGGAGGGTTCGTCTTTCCAGTTTGCATTCTATGGAGAGGGCTACACTGAGGGACAGGACCCCAGCCAGGGACGACCCAACGCTAAGATCCGCACACTAGTCCAAGGACCAGGTACTTAAACACACACACTCCCTAACCTCTGCTGCACAAACACACTAGTCCAAGGACTATTTATTAACCCCTACTCCACCTAACCTGCGGCTGCTGCTGGGGTTAACACAATGCTTCTCTCCCTGTTTCAGAGGCAGGCTACGTGGCCACGCCCATCGCCATGGTACAGGCTGCTATCACCATCCTGAACGAACCCACAGCCCTCCCCAAGAAGTGAGTTACACACACACACACACACACACACACACACACACAACCAGGGATACTGTATTACATCTGATGCATTTTCTTTCTCTCTGTCCCTCTCTCCCTCTGTCTCTTTTTTAGGGGTGGTGTGTACACCCCAGGAGCAACCTTTGCCAGAACCACGCTGGTGGAGCGCCTGAACAAACATGGCATCCATTTCTCTGTCATCTAATGTGTGACCTCATCTGGCCCCTGACCCCAGGTCATCAGCACTTGTCACTCCACTGGTGTTTTCACTAGATGGTCATACTGCAAAGTGAAAATTGCTATATCAGCAACATTTTATTAGGGTTAGGCATAAGGTTACAATTAGGGTTGGTGTTTAAAATCAGATTTTTTCTTCCTTCCAACTTTGCAGCATGGCCCAATAATGACGACCCTCTGTTTGTCTGACTGCGACTGTACAGTCTTTTAAGAGATCGTTACCTTATTGTCAAATAATGGCACCTCGGCTTTAACGAACTCGCCAGCAGATACAAATGCCTCATCTCCCCTGCGTGTGTGTGTGGTGTGTGTTCCATGCCCGTGCGTGTGTTCCATGCCCGTGCGTGTGTGTTCCATGCCCGTGCGTGTGTGTTCCATGCCCGTGCATGCTGTGTTTTTTTCTCTCAATAAAAAGTCTGACTGCATGCTTATAGATGTTCCTGTAAGTTGTATGTCTGTTCTCTGTTCAATACCTGTTTAATATCAAAGCCCACTGTCTGAAACCTACCTTGTTTCAAGAGAATCAGCACTTATGAACAGTTTCAGAAATTCTTCCTTTGTGAACCATAGTGTGCAGTATTTCAGTAATCCAATATAGTTTTGCTGGATCTATTTTTAAGGAATGTGCAGTGACGTTGCTTAGTTGAGATCGACAAAGCAATGCTTGTAAGAAATAGGTGTTTGAGTTCGAAACACACAGAAAGATGGAGTGATCCTGTCCACAACTTGGAGGTGTCTTCTCTGTGATTCGCTGATTTATGCGTGTGTGTGTTTGGGCAGGTTCTGTCCTTGTTCTTTTAGCCTGCTAGGGCTGTAGTTCTTCTCAACCTGACCAAATAAAACCAAGACTACTGAAGTAAACCAACCTTGTGTCAGAGTCCTCACTTTACCAGTAAGGGTTTGGTTAAACAGAAAATATCAGAGAAGGCCTGGTCTGACAACGACTCTTGTCCAGGAGGAGGGAAAGGCTTACAGTACACCTACCTATTCCATCTAAAATATCTACAATTGTTTCAAGTCTACTGTGCATGACGTACCGTGGCGTTAAGGGCAAAATTTTGTTTTCAGACCTGTCTGTCCAGTTGTAACCTTCTCCCATGGATTATTAATTAAGCTGGTTTTCTGATGCTTCATCTAATAAAACGTGCTTCCTGTGCAGAACGGCTGAATTATAATCTGTTTTACAGTCCTTTTACAGATGTTTTATTGAGCCCATCTTAACATTTAGTGTAGTTGCCTGATTTGGCTCCCTCATGGGCAAGTCAGAATACCCTAGCCTACAGAGAGTTGTGCAGGTCAGTGGTAAGATTATAGGGAGGGCCCAAAAGGCTCTCTGAGACATTTACAAAGACTGCACACGTAAGAGGGTAAAAACAATCATTTTGGATCTAACACCCACTGGACAATGAATATACAGTACTGCCATCAGCATGCAGACTCAGGTCTTTACCTCTTGAAACCAAGAGAGCCACTAACAGTTTTGTACCGACATCAGTATGGCTTTTATATGAAAATGTATTTGTGTGACTTGTGTATATACTATGCAGTGGAGTAAAGTAACTAAGTAAAAATACTTTGAAGTACTACTTAAGTAGTTGTTTTTTTTGGTATCTGTGATTTACTATTTGTATTTTTGACAACTTCTTTCACTCCACTACATTCCTAAAGAAAATATGTACTTTTTACACCCATACATTTTCCCTGACACCCAAAAGTACTAGTTACATTTCGAATGCAGGAGAGGAAAATGGTCCAATTCACACACTTAAGAGAACATGTGGTCATAACTACTGCCTCTGATCTGGCAGACTCACTAAACACAAATGCTTCGCTTCTAAATTATGTCTGAGTGTTGGAGAGTGTACACCTGGCTATCCTAAATTAAAGGTTTGCTTAACATAAGGAATTTGAAATGATTTATAGCATTTTACTTTTGATACTTAAGTATATTTGAGCAATTACATTTACTTTTGATGCTTAAGTATATTTCAAACCAAATACTTTTAGATTTCTACTGAAGTAATATTTTACTGGGTGACTTTTACTTAAGTCATTTTCTATTAAAAGGTATCTTTACTTTTACTCAAGTATGACAATTGTGTACTTTTTCCACCACTGATACTGGGTAAGCATTTGTATCTGTTGTGTGAATGTTGCTGTTTACTATATACATTATATTTATTTTATCTGACTTGCCAAAACGGAAGTTCCTTCTGGAAAAATTTAGTTGACATTATATTCTAGTATTTTCCATGCCTCTCCTTACCTCCCTATATTTGGCTCTACAATTAATAGTTGATGTCGCTGACTCAATGGGAACTATGTTCAACAAATGTTGCAGCAGAAATACTTGCAGAAGTGTTTTGAAATTTCTATTTGTTTATAAATATAGTGTGTTAATGGACGTAGGTCCACTATAGACTTGAATGTGCAGGATATTGGAAGGCTGTAAAAAGTCCAGGAATGAAGCGACTCTAAATTAAAGACAACAGCAAAACGTTTTTATTACAACTATCATCACCACTCTTTGGTTGTGACATTCAGATTCAACAGTAAATGTAAAAGCACCATGCACACATGACAGACTGATACAAATTCATTATGCAAAATAAATGGTCACATGAATCAATTTTCATTTAAAAGCTGTAGGGTTCTAAGAAGTGATGGTATGAAGATAGTTGAGAACAAAATGACAGACTTGAATTCAATTTAGGATATTTAATAATAACTTCCAGGTCGTGGACCAGAGCATTACAAGCATCCAGTTCCCCAAGCCTTTGTCTCAACACCATATTATAATGCTCCAGAGGAGGGGAGTATCTGCCTCCCTACATCATTTTACAATCATAAATCACAATGGACTAACATGATGTATATGTAAACCAGAATTTTCTTGCCATATGAGGGGGGTCATTCTAACCAGGCCGTTCCTCTAGATACCTACCATATACATACAGTGCATTCGAAAAGTATTCAGACCCCTTGACCTTTTCCACATTTTGTTACAGGCGTATTCTATTTATTTTTTTATAATTTTTTGTCCTCATCAATCTACACATAATACCCCATAATGACAAAGCAAAAACAGGTTTATATACATTTTTGCAAATGTATTAAAAATAAAAAAAACTGAAATATCACATTTACATACGTTTTCAGACCCTTTACTCAGTACTTTGTTGAAGCACCTTTGGCAGCGATTACAGCCTCAAGTCTTCTTGGGTATGACGCTACAAGCTTGGCACACCTGTATTTGGGGAGTTTCGCCCATTTTTCTCTGCAGATCCTCTCAAGCTCTGTCAGGTTGGATGGGGAGCGTCGCAGTACAGCTATTTTCAGGTCTCTCCAGAGATGTTAGATCAGGTTCAAGTCCGGGCTCTGGCTGGGCCACTCAAGGACATTCAGAGACTTGTCCTGAAGCCACTCCTGCGTTGTCTTGGCTGTGTGCTTAGGGTCATTGTCCTGTTGGAAGGTGAGCCTTCGCCCCAGTCTGAGGTCCTGAGAGCTCTGGAGCAGGTTTTCATCAAGGATCTCTCTGTGCTTTGCACTGTACATCTTTCTCTCGATCCTGGCTAGTCTCCCAGTCCCTACCGCTGAAAAACATCCCCACAGCATGATGCTGCCACCACCATGCTTTACCGTAGGGATGGTGCCATGTTTCCTCCAGTCGTGACACTTGGCATTCAGGCCAAAGAGTTCAATCTTGGTTTCATCAGACCAGATAATCTTGTTTCTCATGGTCTGAGAGTCTTTAGGTGCCTTTTGGCAAACTCCAAGCAGGCTGTTGTGCCTTTTACTGAGGAGTGGCTTCCGTCTGGCTACTCTGCCACAAAGGCCTGATTGGTGGTGCTGCAGAGATGGTTGTCCTTCTGGAAGGTTCTCCCATCTCCACAGAGGAACTCTGGGACTCTGTCAGAGTGACCATCGGGTTCTTGGTCACCTCCCTGACAAAGGCCCTTGTCCCCCGATTGCTCAGTTTGGCCGGGTGGCCAGCTCTAGGAAGAGTCTTGGTGGTTCCAAACGTCTTCCATTTAAGAATGATGGAGGCCACTGTGTTCTTGGGGACCTTCAATGCTGTAGAAATTTTTTGGTACCCTTCCCCAGATCTGTGCCTCGACACAATCCTGTCTCGGAGCTCTACGGACAAATCCTTCGACCTCATGGCTTGGTTTTTGCTCTGACATGCACTGTCAACTGTGGGACCTTATATAGACAGGTGTGTGCCTTTCCAAATCATGTCCAATCAATTGAATTTACCACAGGTGGACTCCAATCAAGTTGTAGAACCATCTCAAGGATGATCAATGGAAACAGGACGCACCTGAGCTCAATTTCGAGTGTCTGAATACTTATGTAAATAAGGCATCTGTTTTTTAATACATTTGCAAAAATTGTGCTTTTTGGCAAACTCCAAGCAGGCTGTTGTGCCTTTTACTGAGGAGTGGCTTCCGTCTGGCTACTCTGCCATAAAGGCCTGATTGGTGGTGCTGCAGAGATGGTTGTCCTTCTGGAAGGTTCTCCCATCTCCACAGAGGAATCACGTCTCCAACTCAATCATCAAGTTTTCTGACGACACAGCAGGGTAGGCCTGATTACCAACAACGATGAGACAGCCTACAGGGAGATGAGAGCCCTGGCGGAGTGGTGCTAGGAAAATAACATCTCCCTCAACGTCAACAAAAGCTGATCGTGGACTACAGGAGACAGCAGAGAAATTCGGCTTGGTCCCTAAGACACTCACAAATTTCCACAAATGCACCGTTGAGAGCATCCTGTTGGGCTGTATCATCGCCTGGTACGACAATGCACCATCCGCAACCGCAGGGCTTTCCAGAGGGTGGTGCAGTAAGCCCAACGCATCACCGGGGGCACACTGCCTGCCCTCCAGGAGTCACAGGAAGGCCAAGAAGATCATCAAGGACCTCAGCCACCCAAGCCAATTTATTTTATCCAGAGAGGAAGAGGCAA